TATAATCTGCGTCCTACCGAGGTGACCTTTTGACAGACCCGCCAAGGCAATTCTCTCAGTGCCGGAATGTAGACAATGACTATAATGGGTAGGACAACCACTTCAATGTCCGTCAGAAATCGGTCTATGTTATACAATGGTGTGTCTGGCTGTATGCTGCACAGGCCCAAAGCACTCACGAATCTGTATCCTGCTTGGTAGACGCTAACTGCCAAGGAAGTTATCGAAAAGGGTACAGTACAGAGGGTTGCCGTCATCCAACCTTGGGGTCTACTGAATGACTCCATATGTTCCGTCGTAGTGCCAGGAAGTGATGGCAGGTTCCACGTATCTAAAAGCTGCTTCGTTGGTGTATTGCGCACCCAGAAAATTATTTTGTAGCAGGAGATGCTCAAGATGATGACGCTGATGACCGCAGTCAAACCAAAACGAGCGAATACCTCGGCGTACTTCGATACGACAATACCATAGGGTAGGTTTGTGTCAAGACAAGTACAATTTTCACCATCCCACTGAAATATAAATGCCTGCGGAAGCATAACAATGATGCTCACCAGGCCCAATCCAACAAAGTAGGCCAGGTCACCAATCAGGGATGTGGAGAAGGAGTACTGGTATTTGCAGACGATTTGAATCGCTCTATTTCCCACTGTGAAATTCAGGGTCAGAATCGTAAATATGTAGCTCACGAACAAGAGGTAATGGCTCGACCATAAATGACAAACAATCCAGCCAAAAAGCGATGGACGGTAAAGGAGGTCTGTGGGTAGGTAGAGCGAAGCGATCCTGATTAAGCTGCAGAGGAAGTTTGACGCGATCAGAGCACGCAACTGGAAGATAAATATCCTTGTCTTGCATTTGAGAAGAAAGAGAAGAACTAACAATATAAGGTTTATTATCAGACCTACGCCGTTCATGATACCACTGATGAGAAAAAGGGTGCCCCTGTCCAGGGCAGCGTGCGAGCAGGTCCAATAAGCTTCACTCATTTTGCTTATTTGTTGCCCTCTCTACTTCTGTGGGAATTTGAAGTCTGTCACATCGACAATGTTATATATTTATATTTTTCGGAGACGTAGAAAGAATGCCTGTCGTGTAGTGGTGGTGGCGGCAGTAGCTAGAAACATTGTGGTCGGCTGTGTAATGCTTGTTTTTTAACCCTATTTTCAATCAGTTACACTCAAAAGATGAAATGTTTATATAAAGTCAGTCTGCTCGCTGTCAAAATATGCTCCATTTCCTGGTCAAATGCCTGCCAACCGAGTGAATGCCTGCTCCCGTTCGCGTACATGTCTCCTAAGCTTTCCTTTGGGTAGGCAGTTTGACACAGTCTCCATGGCATAACCTCCCCCTTCCCCCTGAAGAACCTTAGGACTCTCTTTGCGTTTAATCTCTACCCTTCTTTGTTCGACGATATATCGTAAACAACTTTACTGGCCGGACATCTAATTCAGTACCCTGGATGCGTTCGCCGAGAACACTTTGAGCAGGTTGTCTCAACTGTCACCTGTAGGCTGCTTTCAGTAGTACGTGGTTTCTATACGCAATCTTGGAAAACCTTCCCCGTGGATAAGAATTCCTTATAAACAAGGAAAATATAGGTAAATGCCTTTGACCTCCCTATTGGTACATAACAGCTACGAAATGCATTGGCTCAGCAGAACATTGCAAAAGAGTGGCAATGCCAGTAAATGGAACTGAGGAAAAAGAGCAGACAGTGAAAAAACCCCTTAGGCATTATTTGGAAATTAAAGAGTTTT